TATATCTGTATATATTCAGGGCTTTAAATTTATGGGGGCTGGGTTGCCATTTCAACTTTGGTGACCAGACTCAACAGAGTCCAGTTGCTAGAATTGGAGGTTAGGTAGAGCATCCCAGGAAAAATTCTTCTAAACTTTATTTTTAGAAGCATTTTCACAGGGATACTTTTGGATAACTGGCAATTTATTGCTTCACCCTATCTTGTTTCCTCTCTCAGGAATCTAGGCTCCTTTAAATTGTATTGGAGGGCACTAGGACTAAATTTGTCAGCGATTTTCTTATCATGATTTTAATTAAATAGCTATGCATGATTTGATGTTCATTTTCTTACTTCTTTGTTGGAATGTAAACTCCTTGAGGGCAAGTACTATTTCTGTGTTTTTAATTTTTGAATCTCTAGTACTTACATATAATGTGACTAAAGCCATGGGTAGAAATCCTTGGGCTTTTATTATTTTGGGGAATGTCCTTATGAGAAACAGCTGCCATCAACTGTGACTTAGGTGTTCTTCTACTGGAATGTTTTGAAAAGAGCAATAACTTTAGCGTTTTTGTCTAACAAATTATTGAAAAACTTTGGAGTTCAGAGTGTGTTGTAGGCTGATTTGAAGAGAGAGGAAGAATCTATTTGTGTAAGCCTTGGAGGACACTCCTTCCCCTGGATAACTGCCCTGAGACAAGCTATTTTTTTTTTTCTTGCTATTGTTTTTTCTCATAGTGTAAAATGTCTACATGCTTGGGCCATTTTGGGTAAGTCTTAACAAATTTCGAAGATACAATCTGCTTAAAAGTAGTAGCAAAATACCATGCTTGGAAAAATCCATTGTCTTATAAATGAAACTAAAAGACCATGGACCCAACTATTGATGATTTCTAGCTGAAATTCAACATCTGGGCAAGATTTCTGAGCTCCATTTCCTCAGTATGCCAAATAGCTCATCTGGAAGTAGTCGGCCAAGATTTAAGAGGTGATAGTGGTCCCTTTACTCATTCAGTCTTTGGTCTCCCTGGAGCTTCTTGCCAGGGCAATGATGAGTGATAATTGCTTCTGGGTTTTTGTAGTGTGGTCCAAGGTATTTTAGGTGTTTGCTCTGACCACTAGATTTCATCTAGAACATTATCCATGATGACAATTGGTTACTTTCAACTGACTTTGGGTTGATTGGTAACCTGAAGAGAAAGTTCCTATTGCTTATTCCATGACATATATAACTTCCTACCATCCACATAGACTCTTTTCATTTACCCACATATTGCAGTATTTATTGTCTGTTGTTGCTTAAGTTTAAAAAAATTGGGTTATGATTTCAGATCCTTTACCTGATCAAAAGCAACTAGTGTCCAGATTTCCTCTGTACGCTTGCCTATGACGAATTGATCTAAGGAAAATATTAATTCCCCAGGAAGATGTTTTTATCTGACTTTGGAAATATAGATAAAAATGTTGCACACCCTTATAGTAAACAGATTACAGAAGAGGATTCATGACATGGTGATTAAAAGCTTGGTTCTGGAATCAGACGAACCAGGCTGGACTCCTGGGCCTGCCACATGTGGTTCTGACACTGAGGGTAAGATCTTTAGTAGCCCTGAGTCTCTGAGTCAAGAGAATGCATGCTTAGCACAGAGCTAAGGTTACATAGGAAATATCCATAGATGTCACCTTAAAAAATATGATGGACTTTTATTGCTAAAAATGTACAGACAACTAAAAGATACTGAAAAAGGTGGAAGGAATTAAATATACTATTCATTGGTGTAAAAATCAGATAGGATCCATGTAGAACAAAAATAGAATTGCATTTGAAACAAATTACATTTTTTATTTTTAATGATGCTCCTTTAGCTTTGGTTGAGGGTCTATTTAATAATGTCACATGAAGGTTATCTATATTTTTTATAAAATAGTGGTAGTCGGTATCTTATATCCAATAGCTTAATCAGAGTTTCTTAACAATTCACAGAAAGCCCTTTTATTGGATAATGAGAATTATATATAACCCATTTTTTTCTTTTTACTTTGTTTTTCAAGAAGCTGAATACTAAATTCAGTGCTCAAATGGTAGTAGCCATATATATATATTTTTTCTTGTACTTCTCCATGAATTTTAGTCTTCTATTTGAATAGTTTTAGTGTTGATGTGTGTTTTATTTTGAGATGCCTACATTCTTTGGGGAAGAAGGAAGTGAAATTATGTAAGAGATGCCTCCTAGAGTTTGTCTATAATATTTTAGCTTTTTTTTTTCCTCAAGCAAATACCAAAATTGGCATTGGAAAAATGCTTTGAACTCTTTCAGCGGAAAAGTACTATGTAATGTTAATACAATATATTTATTTTCACAAGTACAAATAAAGCTTGCAAGATAGTCTTACAAAGAAGTTTCCCTCTGTAGTGTATGGTGGAATGAGAGACTTCTATGATTTGTTACTCTGTGATATTTTAGTTTTTTCAAATTTTAAGCCATTAGGCTTAAATTATTAAGCCCATATATACAAAGAATTTTAATCTAAAAATGATGCCAAGTTTGAACATGGAAGAGAGTGCCTCTTCATAACCACATTCTCATCTGGAGTATGAGCCTGCACAGGGACCCAGGAGGCAGAGTGGGGTGGCGGAAAAAAATCTCATGTTTTAGTGTCAGACGAACTGAGGTTCATATCCCAACTTCACCACCTGCTAAATAGATTAGCCTTAATGTTCTCTTCTGTAAAATGGTGATAATAATATGTACTTTATATGGCTGAACTGAATATTTACTTTGCATCAATCAATGATGACTGCTATTTGCCTAGGCTGCTGGCCCTATGGGAACTGGCCAGCTCCCAGCTGCTCAGAAACTTGGGCAAACATAATGGAGTGAGAGAGTTAGGATTGTCACGGGAGCATGAAATAATATCGTTCCTCAGGATCTGGCCTATGGCAAAGTCCCCTAGCAGACCTCACTTACTTTTTCCTCCCTTATTCTTCACCTTTAACCCAAAGGACCAGAGGAGAGCTGCTGCTATGGTGGAATGAAAGGCGAAGTTGGATCTTTTGGGCAGGACCTTTACTTGGTGCTCTCTCCTGTCATTCTCGGAAGGCAGCTGCTCTTCCAGTTGTGGGATATGGGTGGAGCTTCTCTGGACAGCCGTTTTTCTTTTTTTAAGGCAGAATTATACATCGTTGTGTCTATTGGGATTAAAAAATTTTTTTTGATAGCTCACCAGCAAGAAAGAAAATTATATTCCTTATTTCTATTTATTTTCTGAGTTGATTTGTATATTATGGAAAAGTTGATTTAAAAATAAACTGGCTCTCATATATTTTAAAGAGATTCCTTTAAAATATAATACATAGAAGGCACCAAGTTAACGTTCAAGCCCCTGCTGCATTCTCATTTATTCGCCCATCCCATGAACAAACATTCACTGGGCATTTGCTATGTGCTGGATGTTGTTCAAGGTTCTGAGAAGAGAATGAGGACAGCATGTTGACCTATCCCACGCACAATACATTTTTAAAATCAAACCTAGCATTGTTTTAAATTAAAAAAATATTTTACTTTGGATCCAGATATCTGAATGAAAGGAAAGATTTTGGCACTCAAGCCTTCAATGGTCAGTGTCGACACAGTTGCTTCTCCAACCATCCTGATTCCTTTTTCAGTGGGTGCTGAGGATTCCTGTTTAATTTTGTACCCTCAAAGTGTATGCTTTCACATGTTCCTGACTCCTTGCATGCCAAACCGTTTAGTCACTCTTCACGCCCCCAACCACTGAATGAGGCAGAATCATCTTGGCAAACTAAGTTATTTTGTAAAATGATATCTTTTCTTTGACTCTCTGCTTAAGAGCTGTAGAATTTTTGGTTGTTTAGTGTCTTTTTTTTCTGTTTGGAAAAGTTGCATTTTATGAAATCCTGTGGTAAGATTCCCTTGCACTTGAATTAAGCAGCTTATTGTGAGTGTACTAGGAATTTAGGAGTTCACTTAAGCACTGAACTTTTGCATGCCCCAAAATATAAATGTATGTACTAGATTACTGACATGGTTTCCTTATAACCCTCTGAACTCTTTTCCCTCTAAAATTAGATTTTCTTGTTTGGGTTAGTAAAGCATGTGGTTGCAGACCCTCCTAGAGCTATTGTGAAATATTAGGTCTGTATTTCCGGAGGCGTTAGCCACTGGCTGTAACCCAATTCTGATGGGAGAGTGAGTTGCGCATATGACTGATGTTACAAATACAATGAAAGTAAAACAACCCCCTTAAAAAAGAGCAGGCAGTTATTTTTCAGCGGTGGGAAGAAGTTGCAGGTGTGCCTAATGTTTTAAAGCTCTCAATTATTGATCTTGTCCTAAGACTTACAAATAGAACCATTAATGTGTCAGTGTGACACGGATAAAAGATGATTATGGTCCATCTTTAAACTGTACTTAGCACTAAAATGTATAAGTAATGCACACAAAAAAGCCAGCTTTATCACATTTCTACAAGGTTTTACAGGAAAGAATTCATTCTTTCATTCATTTTTTTTTCTTGGCTCTCCTCCCTTTCCCCCGCCTCCACCCCACATTTATTCCCTCCGCTAATTGTTAGAAATTCCTACTGGACATTCCAGCCACTAGCTGGCAGACATAACAAACACAAACTTTGCAGCTTTACAATGGAAATATCTTAGAACGCAACTTTTTTAACCTTTGGTAGCTACTATCTTCTGAACTAGGAGGCTCATCTTAGTGAGTGAAGCACGTTAAAGTACTATAACACCTAAGGATTTTAGTTCGATTTTACTGTAATCTCAATTTTACTACCATAAGTCAACTTTGTCATCAGAGAGCTCCGTATTACACTTGATGGGCAGATTCATCTACCTTCACTCTGTGCATGTGGTCGACGCATGAGCAGCAAGGCAGTAATACTTCTTTATTTAAGCCAAGTCTTGGATTCAGTCCCAAATGACATAATCTCCCATAAGCTGGGAAATCTGGTCTAAACCACAGAATGTTATGGGGTACATACCTGTTCAGAGGATCATAGTCAAAGGATAGTTAACAGCATTTCATTGTCATCCTGGGGGAACAAAATAAGTCATACTTGGCAGGAGTTGGACCTGGGCCTAGAGCTACTTGACATTTTTATATAACAAATTAGAATATTCACTAAGATTGTTGCAAGTGGTCTGTATTACAGGTAAGAGTGAAGCACTAGTTTTTGCATGGTGTTACTACCTGTGCCCAGCCATAGTTAGGATGGATCAAATGGAGAAGTTAAGGCAGATGAATGAACAAACTATGGTTTATAGTAATGCAAACTCATGGTGATGGAAGGCTTGAAAATGGAGATGGCCATGAAAGAGGAAGTAGAAAAGAGGAGCTGGAATGCTGTAGAGAAAGAAACTCAGTGATTTCACCAAATTTGTCCATGCATTCATTGATTCTTTTATTTTTTGCTCATTTATCCATGCATCATATTTTAATAAGGGTCTACTATGTTCTAGGTACTGTGACAGGCACTTTGGACAAAGCAATTAACAAGACATGGTTCCTCACTATGGAGAAAATTAAAATGAGGGATCAAAAAGAACGATTGACTCAAAAGTAAAATGAGGAATCAGGAGAATGGTGTTTCTTCTTTCCAAGATGAGAGGTGTTGCGGGGAGACCCTGGACATGATTTGCTCTTTAGACTTACTGTGTTTGATTTGACACTGTGCTGTAGATGCCTCTCACAGAGATGAAGAAGAAAGAGAAGTGAAGAATTAGGACTAAGCCTAAAAATTCAGAGTTACCCACTGGTAGCATGAAATTGAAACTCTTGGGCCAGATGAGCTTCTTGGGAGAGTGACTGAGCAGTAGGCTTGAAAGTGAGTCTCCACAGCATAGAGCATGGGGTATGGCAGGACAGTGTAGGTGAGGACCTGGAGACCAAAAGATGTGATTTCTACAAAGTAGCACGGACCTAAAACGACCACTTATGACCAGGTTGTTATAAATACACTTGGAGATGACTTCTGTAAAGAGTACATTTAGAGAGAAGGCCTGTTGAACAAATTGCAAGTACTGGAGGCAGATTAAGAAAATGATCTGGACCTAGCATAGTAGAAGTCTTGATAATGCGAGAGAAACAAATGGGGCCTAAGTGATTATGTAACTTATCTCCTGAGTACTTTTGTTGTACTATGGGAATTTTACGACTTAGAGGATCGTGTCCAGAGAAGAACATTTAAAGCAATCTATGTTTTGGAAGATAGGAACCTCTAAGACAGAAAGAATGTAAATTCTTTAGTTCTTAAGGTAGGAGGCTGAAAGGGCAAAATGAATAAGTTATTAAAAAGATGTCTAGTAACTAGATACCAGACTCCATAAGAATACTAAAAAAAAAAAAAAAAAGTGTATACTTCCAAAGAACCCTAGACTAGGCACAGGAGATTTTGGTTCTAGCCCAGCCTTGCCACCTGTGTGCTATAAGACCTAGTATGTTAAATAATTCAACAGCATTGGGCCACTGTCTTCCCGTTTATAAAATATAGAGATCGACAGATGATCACTAAGGCCGTAACATGAAAAAAATGATCAATTATAATATTAATTACTGATGTAACCTATTGAAATTCAAAAATACACAAGTCTAATTGATTTGAATGAGTTTGTTGTTCTATCTATAAATCTAGTACAAAAAATGAATCTAAAGAGTATTTTGCTTAAGAAAAATCTGCTTATTGACCCTATCATAAAAACATTTCAAAAATAATGATTAAAAAAAATCAGATTTTGTATACTAGTTGAAATTTGCCTGTCATCTTTGAAAGAGTTCTCCATTTTAACTGGAGTTTGTTTTTTTAATGCTTGATTTTTTTTTTTTTAAAATTCAGTGGCAAAAGTGTGACTACGCCTTCCTGGTGAAGGATTTTCCCAACACCTTTGCCACGTCTGCCCTCCGGGGATTTCAGATAACAAGCAAGCACCAAGTTGGCCCTCTAAATTTGGCCCCCTCTCCCTGCCACAGTGTTTAGCAGATTGGATGAAAATGTGTCCACAGAGATTAGATATTACAGTGACCACAGTGCATTTTTCTGCTCAGAAAGCTATCTCTCGAATCAGCCCTCTACCTCTGGTTTATCGGGAGGAGAGTACAGACAGATAACATCCTTGCAATGTGACCCTGACCTTTGTCAACCTTTGTTAAGGCTTCATCTGAAGTCAGGCCTAATGTTTGTAAACAGGATGTAATTAAGGCTGGGAACTGACAGGGTCTGACATTAAGACAATGCAGAGCTGGCAGGGAATGGTCTGTCAGATGTCAGCTCGCATTGTGTTCTAAGTGCCTTCATAATAATTAGTGTCCTCTGTCTGAAGGAAGTTCACTCAACTTGGATTAATCTGTCACAGTGTGGAGGCCATCCTTGGGAGGGCAAGTGTTTCCTCTGATAAACCTTAGAACAAGTATGAGAAAAAAAGCAAAGAGACTCAAAAGAAAACTGTGAAAGTCAAGACTGCTGGTGACAGGTGCTGCCTGAAAATTAGAAACAGGAAGTAGGAAATAAAAGCCCCCCTCCACATTCCAATCGTGAAGTGAATTCAAGAGTTCACCATGATCAGAATTGGCTACAGCCGTCCTGGCCTGCTGGTCTGTGTGCCTTGAGTAGACACAGGAAGATGAATGTTCAGAAAAGCCCATGCATAAACACATTGTTTGGCTTTTGCCCTTAACTAGTACAATGTGTGTGTCAGAGATTGCCCACACCCTATAAAAGGATTTAGGTTTAACATGTAATCGATCCAAAGAGGCTGAACCTTCTTTCTGTTATTAGAAGACATTTCTTGGGCATCTTCTGCTGGTTGGTATGGTGCAAAGCCTGTCAAGAGATGTACCTGTCTTCTTGACTTTTTAACTAATGGAGATGAGCCTGATGCTGAAAGGCTGCTGTCAATAGCCTTTGGAGTTGGCTTGGATTCTTTCTGAATCTCAAAAGTCATCATAGAAAGTAGGGGCTCAAATGGATACTTGTACACCAGTGTTCATAGCAATGTTATTAACAACAGCTAAAAGGTTACATCAGTGTTCATAGCAGCATTAGTAACAATAGTTGAAAGGTGGAAACAACCTAAATGTCTGTCAACAGATGAATAGGTAAACAAAATGTGGTATATCCATACAATGGAGTATTATATACCCTTAAAAAGGCAGGAAACTCTGACACATGCTGCAACATAGATGAACCTTGAAAACATTATGCTAAGTGAAATAAGCCAGATGCCAAAGGACAAATAATGTATGATTCCACTTGTATGAGGTGCCTAGAATAGGCAAATACATAGAGACAGAAAGTAGAATAACTGTTGCCAAGAGCTAAGGGAAGAAGGAAATAAGAAGTTGTCGTTTAATGGGCACAGAGTTTCAGTTTGGGATGATGAAAAAGTTCTGAAGATGGATGATAGTGGTGGTTGTACAACAATGTAAATATACGTAATTGTACATTTAAAATGTATACTTGTACATTTTATTTTCTGTAATATACACTTAAAATCTGTACAGTTACATTATACACTTAAGAATGGTTAAAATGGTAAATTTTGTGTATTTGTGTATTTTGCCACAATAACATTTTTTTTTTTAAAGTAGTCGTGAAAAAATACTCTTCAAGCTGTGTGGGCCTTCAAGACTTGTCTACTTTAGTCACCACTTCAGGGAAATGACAGCATTTATTCAGCGTCATGCCAGGAGCCTGTGGGAGAGCTTTTTCCCGACAAATGGGCCATTCACTTTTTAATACCAAATTCTATTCTTGTATAGGTGACTGTTTGCTACTCAGTCTTGGGAGAAGATGAAACCCTGACGCACATGAATAGCAGTTCTCTTTGTCATTTATCTGAGTCTAGAATTTAGTGACTATTTGTACTTATTTGCATGAGACTCTTCTAGGTCGCTTTCAACTTTATAACTTGATATTTCCATGATTGCTTACAGGCAGGATGAGTGTAGGTTCAAGTTTATTTTGTAAATAAAGATAAGACTAATATTTTCTACCCAAGGCACTGAATTTTCCATTGGGTTCAATAATAGATTTAAAAGCTTCCTGATTATCAATGAGAAATAAAAAAGAAGCCATATAATAGTTCCTGTAGAAGAATGGCCAGAAAGGAATATTATATCAAAGAGGCAATAACTTTGAATATGTACTTTAGGAAAGTACCTATTTTAGGAAAAATAATTTAATTTCATTATTATTCTAGTTGTATGGCTTTCTTAAATTAGAAAATGGTATTGCTCATAATAACAGTTTTCCCTTAAGTTTATCTTAAATAAGGTCACCAAACTTACAGTATTGACAGGTTGGGTAAGAGGAGTCAGGCAAAATGTGTGTGTGTGTGTGCGTGTGTGTGTGTGTGCATGTGTGTGTGTGTGTGTGCGTGTGTGTGCGTGTGCATGTGTGCGTGTGCATGCATGCGTGCACGTGCTCTTCTTTTGCTCATTAACATCCTGAGAAAATTTTCAGGAACTTAAACTTCAGAAAATAATTCTTTTTCTTCTTTTTTGCTGTTCTACCTTTCAATTAAAGTGAATTCACTATCAATTCCTCTTTGGGTCATTCACTGATTCACTGTGTCCCTCCAATACCCTATGTCAGATATTCTATAATTAAAGTAATTAGTAACATATATAGTGATGAAGTGTAGGAGCGAGAGAAAATGGGAGAATATTCAAGACTCGACAGAGCAATTCTGGATTGTCTTCTCCAGATCCTCCTGCCATATTTGAAAATATACAGAGGACTGAATGAGGAGGGACCCTTCTCGAATTAGCATGTATATTATATCACCAGCATCCAACATTCCTTAGGAATAACTGTTACTTCCTAAGAACCTACTGTGTTCAAAATATTATTTCATTTATTTTTTGCAACGTTCCCTTAGAAGAGTTATTTTCTCCATGGATTGAGCTGAAATTTAAGAGGCTATATAACTTTCTCATGGTTATTCACTAAGAAACATTGGAGTTGGGATTTAAATTAAGATTGGATTCTGCTTTTTCCACAATGGTAGGCCATTTGTTCTTGGATATAAATGAAGAGAAGGATAAAGAACAGCCCCATAGAACTTCTTTTTTCCTTCGCTACCCCTTCTTTCTTAATGCAGAGAAGTTAATTTAGGACTCAACTGCTGAATTCCCTAATAGGAGGGAGGACTATATGCCTTTAAGTAGATTGGCATGGAAGCAGTAGTGGGTACCAGTCACCATCAGCCTGACGTCAAGTGTTTTCAAAGAAAAGATAAGGACTATCAAATTAAGCTAACAATAGATTACTTTTTCATTACCCTGAATTAAATTACCCATTTACATACATGTGTTTGTAGGCTATATCCTTAAGTCTTAGGAGAAAGAGAAGTTTGCTTTAGTGGCTGGCAAAGGAACAGACCTTTTCAAAGGTAACATTTGAGCTGAAGTGATAAACCACTTCATATGGGACAGCCAGCACTAATGCTTTCCCAATGCGTAGGGTAAATATTTGGCCAACAGTTTGTATCACTGGCATTGTGCTTCAGACCCATTTTTTATATGATCCAGACAACAAAGAGATACATCTTTCTCATGATTAGTGAAGAGAGCGGTATTTCCTCCTTGATGAAAGACTAGACATAAAAATAGCTCGAGACTTGTGAGGGACAGTTAAATGGAAGTACATTCAAATTTTAAAAACAATTGGCTTTCCAGATACCATAACCTAGAAGAAGAGGGAGAAGAAAAGAGTCATGCGGGGTCGGGGCGGGGGGCGTGTACACTGTCCAGAGTTGGAGATGTACTGGCCAAACTGGGAGTAAGTGTCCCCACTTAACCTAGGGAATCTTCTTAGCTAAATGTAGTCTTATCCTTCTCGCAAGTATGTCCCCGCTCCCCTTCCACCCTCCCCCACCCCCAAGGATAGTTCTCAAGTGTGGCTGCTAGATGAAAGAGGAAAAGACAGAGAAGCATCTTACAGAATTAACTTTGATGCCCTAAATACATTTTTTGAGCATGTAAATATATAACCTCTGGAAGAAAAAAAAACCCAAAGCAGAACATATAAGATTTTTTTAAGATAGGTAAATCATTTTCTTTTTAAATGAAATTCAGTTTGACTGCATGAAATATGAACAGTAATTAAATGCACAGTCTGTGGGCCTTCCATACTTTAAAGTGCTTTCTTAAAAAAAAAAAGAAAGAAAGAAAGAAAAAGAGTACTCACCTCAGACAGGCCAATTACCCAAGAATGATGAAGTCAAGAGGAAAGTCGCTAAATTTCTTTACTTGAGTGATCACAACCCCAGCCCGTGATTAGTCCCCACGGCACCAGCGGGGATGTGGTGGGGACACTCACATTGGAAGACTTCAAATAGTCATTTCCTTGGTTAAAATAAAATCTGACTGCACTAAATAGACAGTTTTTAATCTCAATTGGACATCTGAAGATTTCTCAAGCTGTTGTTGGCTGCGGCAGAAACAAATTTTTCTGCTTTGTTGATTAAACCGCTGGTCTCCACCACTGCTTATCGGCCTGCAACGAGCTGTTCTTTTTAATTAAAAGTGAGCCACCACGAGAGAGCAATTAACAGCTAGTAATTACTGTGCTCTTCAGAACGGCAACATTTTGCTTTTCATTCCAATTATATAATGGACAAGTGGCTTTTTGATCTTCAAATTAGTGAGCTCTTGTCCTCCTTCTTTGGAGGCAGAATTGGCAGGTTAATG